TCCACTCTGATACCCAAGAGAAATAAAAATGTATGTCCACAAAAAGACTTGTATGAGAATGTTTATAGCAAACTGGCAATAATCCAAATGTCTATCAAAAGGACAATGGATACACAAATTGTAGGATAGCTATACAATGAATTGCTACTCAGAGATTTAAAAAAAAAAAACAATTTACTGGTACATGAAATAGCATGAATAAATCTCAAAAATATTTTGTTGAAGGAAAGAAGCCAGACAGTATATACTCAGACAAATGAGTACATACTGTATGGTTCCATTTATATGAAATCCAAATACAGGAAAAACTAATATATTGCGCTAGAAACAAGAAAGATGGTGAGGGTACAAATTGCCAAAAGGGTGCTGAGAACCTTCTGAGAGAGATGGAGGTTTTACTTATCTTATTTTGGGTGGTAGCTACACAAGTGTATATTATTGTCAAAATTCCTCACATTTAACTCTTAAATCCATAAGTTTTATTTTATGTTAATGATTTCTCAATGTTTTTTAAATAGCCTAATTTGCCAAATTCAGAAGAAATCCTGTACATAGTTCTCACACCTTCCTGATCTGCATAACTTTACTATCAAGAGATCCTTCCTTCTTAAACTCTTTAATGTGTTCCCAGATCTCCCAGAAGAGGGGCTTCTAAACATCTCCAAGCCTTGGGGATAGATACAGAACTCAGAGAAGGCAGATATTATAATCCCATTTTACAATGAGGAAACAGAAGCTCAGAGTGGTTAAGCAACTCTCCTGATGTCACCCAGCTGGTGAATGATAGCATCAACATTCAATATCAGACTGTCTCTAAATATATGCTCTTTTCAATACCTACATGGCACCACTACATACAGTAGAAACTTCTCAAAAAGACACTGCCAAGATTCTCTATCTAGTGTGCCAAAAGAAGAAGGAAATTTGATGACCCACAAATTTTCTCAGGGAAGGAATCAACACCCATTGCACAGAGTAAGGGACTAAGGAAAAGGAAACCATAAATGAGGGCAAATCCTTGCAATGTATTTAACAAACAAATCTTAATATCCAAAATATTTAAAGATGTACTACAGTTCAGTAAAGAAAAATATTAATAATCTGTAGATGAATAGTTCAAAGGTATAAAATAGTAATTTACAAAAGAAATAATAAAGCAGAAAAGCACAATCGGTCTCACAATTAAAGAAACAACAACTAAATAACAAAATTTTGAATTTTGTCTGCAAGTTTGTCAAGTGTTTTTAAAGATTAAGTATATCCTGTTTTGGCGAAAATGTGGGACGCTCATACTGTAAAGTGGTATAAATTTGTATTACTTCTTAGAAGACAATTTCACAATATCTATCAAAATGTAAAACATAAGTTCCCTTCAACCTGCAGTCCCACTTTTGTACCATGGAAATATTAACCCAAATCGGCATAGATATTTATACAAGAATTTTCACTAAAACATTGTTTACAATGGTGAACAATTAAAAGCGATATAAATGCCTACAAATAGGGGACTGATTAAATACATGATGCTATATCATATAATGAAATACCATACAACTTTTTAAAAGAATGTTTGATCTTAAAGTGGCAAAGAAATGAATATATGTGGAAAGTTGTCCATGATTAATAATTAAGTGGAAAAAGCAAGATACAAAGAATATATGTAAAATGTTGCCACTTTTATTTTAAAGCAAAACAGGCAGGAAACTGTGCTCTGGGCAATGATGCCTGAGTCGCTAGACTATCAGGGATTGAACAAGATTGTGTATCTGAGCACACTAGGAACCCAAATACTGTTTGGATTTTAATATCAGGAATGCTAACATTAGCAACCAGCAAGTTGGACAGATTCTTAGCAGGAACCCTGGGAGTTGAGGCAAGGCCCTACCCTAGTAACTCAATAAGATATAAATAACAGCAATGGTCTTTATTTGTTTACCACTTCAGAGTTTACGAAGTACTTTCACATATATTCTCTCATTTAATTTAATACTTTCAACAATTTCTTGAGATTGGCATTGTTGCTCTCATAGTGCGACCAGAAAATCTTCAGATAAGTGAAATGAATAATCCCTGGCAACTTTAAAAGGGCAGAGATCAAGTATTCCAGGCGCCTATCTCACTGAACAACAACAAAACAAAACAAAATTAAAAAAAAAACAAAAAAAGCACTCACAATGCATTTGGTGAGTGAGTGGATGAGTGCCAGCTCTTCCGTTTCTAGAGGGAGCTTCCTTCCACTCAACAGCACCCTTGCCAGGAGATAGGCAGACAGGAGCTGACCCATATGAGGCAAGATGTCAAGAATAGAAACAAATACGTGCTGCAGCCTCAGCCATGTCTCCTACAGTGGTAAAAGCCGAACTCTCTGGGGCAGAAGCAATGGCACACGGCTCTAGGGGGGAGCTCTGCGGTGCCAACCAAGCAGTGCCAGCAGATGCCAGTCGTGCCGACCAGGTGAGTCCCTGGGTGCTGCAACTTCTAGGAGTTCTAGCTCCCCCCACCACCACCAACACACACACTCCTGGGATGTCTCTTGCATCAGAACGTGGTGGAGTGGTACAGAGAAATGACTTTGTGTCTCTGCTCTGCCTCTTACTGTTAATATTTTTGTGGACTGGGGCAAACCCCACAACTTCTCTGAGCCTCCATTTCCTCACCTGAAAAGTAGGGATGATGATAGTTGCTACCTAGCAGGGATATGAAAGATTATATCAGATAATGCAGGTTAAGGACTTAGCAAAGCACCTGATACCTGGTAAGCACTCAATCATTTGCTATTCAGTTCTAATTATGACATGGTAGGCTAATCATAAAACGTATGGCCATGGAAAATCTGCAGAGAACAGGTCAAGCAAAGATGTACGTGTGTAAATGCATGCATACGCATGTGTGTTTGAGGAGAACAGGGGATCTGGGTCCTGAGAAGATGTGACTTAACATTTTGATGACAGAGAAGAGGCTGTTTCCAGAAGCTCTCTGAAGAGTGGGATTCTCAAACTGTGTAACTGTCCATTTGGAAAACCATTTAGACAATCCCCAGGCCCAGACCAAAGGCTGAAGTCACCCCAGGTATCTCTCCCCTGCCTAAGCAGCCTTTCTAACATAGCATCACACACGCGGGTACAACTGAGGATCCGGTAGAAGAAGGCATTTGAATCGGAAGCATGCTGTTTCATCATTCAGCCCCCCAAGTAGTGATATTTTGCAACTTGATTATTGTAAAAAATGAAAGTGATGCCACAATTTGCTGTGCTTCTGTGTCCCAATCACATTTAGTAATCAAGAGTCTCTATTCCAACATGGCACCAAGGTGTTACTCTTCAAATTGGACATGCCTCCTTTAGCAATTTTGCTCAGAGTCTATAAACACTGGGGAAATGAAAAGAAATAGCTTTTCAGTTATCACTGATCTCCCACCTTAGACCGTTCACATCCCTGTTGCTAATAGAGCAGCACCAATCACAAGAATTCAGCTGCGCTTTTCCTGCTGGCAACGTTGCCAGAATCCTCTCAACAGGCTACACCAGGCGGGCAGAGCCTGGGCTGGACCATCTTTCTCATTCAAACCATCTGACACAAGATCTTAAGAAACGTCATTGTGGAGCACAGGGGACAAAGGAGAAGGCCCAACTCCACACCAGCCCCCACCCAAAAAATAGGGAAATTGAGTGTTTCTTCAGTGAAATTGCTGTGCTTTGTTTCTTTCCAGAAGACAGAGCAGAGCAAAGTAGTAGACTCCCCACCCACCCGCCAAAATTCTGGTGAGCTGGCCTGGGCGTGGCCTGCACTGATCCCTTCGCAGGGATAGTACAGCTTGGATATGGGGTCAGGTGCCCATTTGCTGAGTTTAAGGGCACCGGAGACCCTTGCAGTCAGAACACAGAGCAGTAATACAGAAAGCCATGGGGATGGCGGGGTGGGGGCTATGACACAGGAGGGAGGGTTGGCTTTGAGTATTACCCGGGTAAAAGAAAACACGGTAGCCCCTTCCAGAGGTCCCTAGATAAGCTGTCTGCTAACTAAGAGTGTCTCAGGAATATTCCCAAGGGGCCAAAACAAAAGTTTTTATTTAGTCCCACGAATATATACAGATCATGGTCCTAAATGCTGAGTATGTGAAAATAATATGAAAGGGAAAACAGCAGAGTTCTGGCCCTTGAGGAGCAAATGTTAGAAGTAAAAAAAAATATATGTATCTTTTTGATATGCTGTAGGAAGGTCAAGATCAGTAGAGGCTCAAGTGTTATGAGACTCAGAGAGGCTCTTAACCCATCCTGGTAGAGAGGGCTGTTAGGAAAGATAACCCTGTAGTTCCTTGTTCATCATTCCCAAAGTTTAAAATCTGTGACGGGCCACCTGCATACCTGTTGCTCACCCGATGCAGGCTGGGTCCCAGAAGCCACACTGTGTGACAAAGCAAGTGCTCTCTGGACTCCGAGGCACATGTAATGGAGAGAGGAGGGAGGACATTGGGACACTCCAGCAGCCCAGGCCTGGCAGTGCCTACGGGAGAAATCATGTTCTCAGGCCTGGGTTCTCTGAGGTTGGAGTCAGAATGGACGGAGAAGCAGTTTACCCTGTGTACTACTTGGATGACTTTAACTCTCTTTCATGTCTAAAACTCTTAAACAGATGTCAGAGGCCTGGAGTATGACCGGTTTGCAAAATGAACTTTCACTCTCCCCTATGGAAGGGACATCGGCTCCTCGCCCAGTTCTTAAGCTGCATCTCTTTTTGGAAGCCAAATTACTCAGCCAAGGAGAATTGACTCAAGTAACATGTACACTAGCAGTATAAAAACAAAAATGTACACATTTCTACAAACCACCACCAAAATTGAACATAATCATTTAATTTTTTCACTTTGATGGACATTTTAATTATGTTCCATCTGTAAAATGGAATAGCATATAGTCATTAAAAATCAGATTTTCAGGTAGTGCCGGCGGGACCGTTGGCGAGTGTGTTGCAGCTTTCGTGTTACGCGAGTCTGGTTGCTGCGAGCTAAAGAGCAGAGCGCGCGGGCCGGTCATCATGTTGCGCTATGGGCGGTATGGAGGAGAAACCAAGGTGTATGTTGGTAACCTTGGCACTGGTGCTGGCAAAGGAGAGTTAGAAAGGGCTTTCAGTTATTAAGGTCCTTTAAGAACTGTATGGATTGCGAGAAATCCTCCAGGATTTGCCTTTGTGGAATTTGAAGATCCTAGAGATGCAGAAGATGCAGTACGAGGACTGGATGGAAGGGGGATTTGTGGTTCCCGAGTGAGGGTTGAACTATCAACAGGCATGCCTCGGAGATCACGTTTTGGTAGACCACCTGCCCGACGTCCCTTTGATCCTAATGATAGATGCTATGAGTGTGGTGAAAAGGGACATTATGCTTATGATTGTCATCGCTACAGCCGGCGAAGAAGAAGCAGGTCACGGTCTAGATCACGTTCTCGATCCAGAGGAAGGCGATACTCTCGCTCACGCAGCAGGAGCAGAGGATGGAGGTCAAGATCAGCATCTCCTCGACGATCAAGATCTGTGTCTCTTCGTAGATCAAGATCAGCTTCACTCAGAAGATCTAGGTCTGGTTCTATAAAAAGGATCGAGGTATTTCCAATCCCGTTCAAGATCAAGATCAAGATCCAGGTCTCTTTCCCAACCAAGAAGCAGCCGATCAAAGTCCAGATCTCCATCTCCAAAAAGAAGTCGTTCCCCATCAGGAAGTCCACGCAGAAGTGCAAGTCCTGAAAGAATGGACTGAAGCTCTCAAGTTCACCCATTAGGGAAAAGTTATTTTGTTTACATTATTATAAGGGATTTGTGATGTCTGTAAACTGTAACCTAGGAAGGATATTTCAACCATCTAATCAAAATAGATCTGGATTATCACTCTGTAAATTCACAGCAGTAAGATAATATAAATTTATTGAATGTATTCACATCCTATGGTCTGAAAATGTGGGTTTTTATTTGGCACATTTAAATAAAATGTTTCTAACTAGATTTTTGACTTGTGTTCAATAAACACTTCTCAATTGGTAAAAAAAAAAAAAATCAGATTTTCAAAATACAATGACAAAATACGATGTTCACTTTAATGACTTGAATTGTGTTCCCCCAAAATGCTATGTTGAAGTCCTAACCCCCAATCCAGTAACTGTAAATGTGACCTTATTTGGAAATAGGGTCAGGGCAGATGCAATCAAGTTAAGATGAGGTCAATTAGGGTGAGTCCTAGTCCAACATGACTGATGTCCTTATAAGAAGAGGAGGATGCCATGTGAAGACAGAGACACACAAGGAGAAGGCCATGTGACAACAGAGGCAGAGGTTGGTGTGATACACCTGCAAGCCAAGGAATGCCAAGGACTGCCAGCCACCTCTATAAGCTAGGAAGAGGCAAAGAAGGAAGGATTGCACCCAGGGCCTCAGAGGAGGCACAGCCCTCCCAGCACCTTGATTTTGGACTTCTGGCCTCCAGAACTGTGAGAAATGAATTTCTGTTGTCTTAAGCTATCCAGTTTGTGGTGCTTTGTGGCAGCCCTGGGAAACTAATATCCTCACCAAATACCATTAAATGAAAAAAGGAGGACACAAAACTCTTTTTTGGTAACAAGTGGGTTAATATATTTCATCATGTTTACAGGTCCTCTTAATTTCTTCTTGTGTTAATTATCTGTTCACACTCCCAGGGAAGATCATTCTTGTAGCCAAGAATTATACAGCACTCCAGCCCAGGGCTCTGGTGCTCCGGGATCACCTCTTGGTCAGCCCCCTTGAGTCTCTTTGCTCTTCTCAGAGTGGGAGCCCAGTGCGCTGAGGGTTAAAATCTGAGCCCCTCCACTGCCCCTTCCTTCCCTTTCAAGGGTTGGTCTGGCCTCTCACCTGAGCTTTCTCCTTGGCATAGAATAGATTCAATGCAAAATTATTTCACTGAAATTATTGAATATTTCCAAAGATTAGAATACATGTCCTATTCCAATAGTGTAGAATTAATATAAGTACAAGAGCTTAGGAACATGGAACACTGCATACATTCCCTGATTGGGTTATTACTGTTGTCAAGTTCTTGGCTGAGCCTCCTTGGCATTGAAAATGAGTCCAGCTCACCCTACCTAGCTCTCCACCCTCAAAACCCCAACCCTGTGATGTGAGTATCCACGGGCGTGAGAATCGTGGCCACATTGGCTTCCCTTTGCTCTCTGCCTGCAACCTTTGTCTCCATCCGCAGCAAGCCAGGGCTTCTTCCCCTCTCCAGAGGGAGCTGATTACTGGGCTGCAAGGTATAAGGTGCCTACTAAGTAACTTCGAACTAGACTCTTCAGATATGTAGGGACTCTTAAATATAATCTGCCATTGTTTTAATTTTTCACAAGTACCCTATTATCTGCTTTAATCTCAAGCTAATTCTTCTCACATTGGGAATACTTAAATTAGTTATCAAGTATATACCCTGATTCCGTTATAGCCCTTATCACTCTGAGCTGTTTACGTACGTGCATGGATTTCCATGCTAGACTACGAGCTCTCAAGTTCAGGGTTATGACTTATTTATTTTTGTATCTTCCTAGCTTGTATCTTATGCTCAGTATAGTCAGTGCTTAAAAAAAAAAAAAATAGATTGTTGAGGGCTAAATCTGGACCTCTTCAGCCCAAGAGTGGTACAGGATTGAGGAATGTGTGGAGAAGGTTGTGGGAATAGTCAGCATACCCTGTGTGGTGTGATATTTGGAGCAGTTTAGGGAATGTCTCTCACATGAGATGACTTTTGAATTGGGCCTTGGATGATGACTATAATTTCACCAAATGGAGAGGGAGGCATAATAGAGGGACCAGCATGAGATGGTGTGCAAACAGGGTTTTAGAAAACTACAGTTAACTTGGTGTGGCTAAAGCCTATAGTGGTGAGAGGACCCGATGGAAACTTGCAAGAAGTTTTTCCAGCTTACCCCTTCACCAATAATGATCATAATAATTTTATTTTGGGTTGTCCTTCACTTTAAATTCAATCAGTCTTTCTCTCATTCAACAAACATATATTGAGCATCTGCAGAGTTTGAGGCAGTTTGTTAGGATTCAGTGGCTGCCTCGGTCACACCCCTACAGTGGGCCATCCATGGCTTTGGAGACTTTATCTAGATGTTTTATGCCATTTGTCTTAGCTCCGATCTTAATAAGACAAGCTAGAGATTGCATCTTTAATTCCTTAATGTGTTCCCATGAAATCTGTATGAATGTTTTCTAGACATTGCTATTTAATGAATGCTTTTGGAATTTAGTTAAGCTAACCTAAAGTGACAGGATAATAAAAGGAAAATAGAAGGCTGATGGGGGAAAGAATAAAGTAAAAGAAGGAAACTCAGATAGGAAAATATCAGTGCAAGAAAGGAAATAATTAGAAGTGAGAAGAAAGGAGGATTAATTCAAGGTAGTTAAAGAACACAGACTCTTAGATGTAGAAGGGATCCATCTTAGGTTTAGATGGATCTCTAGAGGCCACCACCTAGGGACACCTGAATCAGAAAGAAGGATGGACAAGACTTTAACATTTCCTCTGATGCTGAGGCTCCAGGCAGCATACAACAATATTACTTTGATTCATATTTGACAAGGCAGCTGTAGAACTATTTAAATACTCCCAAAGACGTGGCTCTTATGCCCATGTTGTGAGCCATCTGGCAAAAGATATGATGGTAGTTTTAGTAGCTGAACCAACTATACAGTACTAGGAATATGGATATTTTATTAATTTTTGGTGAATTAGGTTGATAAATTCCAAAGCATAAAACAATTATCATACTCTTTCTTCTCTATTTCCAGAATACAATGTCCAAGTCCTAAGCCTATGAAATCAGACGACCCTGCCTAGCTAGCACTATCTACCCACATTCATTATTCCGGACAAGCCAAATCAACAGCACTGCTTCTAACTTGTGTAAAGCAAACTGCTCTTCAAATTTTCTGTTTTCTGGTAGAAGAAACACTCCTCCAAAGTTCCATGTCTCCATATGTTCTTGGTGGCCATATGGGCATCATAATAGTGACACATACCTCTGTTGCACTGTTTTTATTTCATCAGGCTTGAGTGGACCTTGGGCAAAAGATGACTAACAACATCTTCTCCTTCAAAGTGGCACAAATGAATCAGACACCACACGAGGAAGCAGTGAAAATAGAACTAGACTATGAATCAGGAGACGTGGGCCTTAGTTCAGTTTTGTCTCTAACTGATGATAGCATCTTGCAAAAGTCTCTCTAGACATCAACGATTACCTCCTCTTTAAAATGTCCCCATTAAACTTCTCCAACTCTTGACTATTCCTCCAGAAAATCTAATTGCATTTCTATTTATTAGGAAATAGATTTTATATTTTCTTTGTCTGAATATTTTGGAGAACAAGTTACTCTATCCTGGTATTTGGGTACCTACTAAAAAACAAACAAACAAAAAAAAACCCCACCTTATGCATAAGATTTGTCTCCATGACAGCAATTTAGAATAGAGGAAGACTTGGTATTAATTCCTCTAGAACTTAGAGGAGCTACTTTATACAAAGTCTGCCATTTACTTAAAGGACTTTTTTAGGGGATGTGTATACAATTGGCAGAGCTGGAGCCAAGACAAGCTAAGAAAAAGGAGCTATAGCACACACTTAGTCATTTTAAATTGTAAAAATATACTTCCATTTCTCCTCAGAGAAATCAAACAATTCATTCATTAAACTATACTAGGTTATACTATAAGGCAGAACTCAGAATGAAAGAAATCCTTAGTCACTTACTCCCCAAGAGATAGGAACGTTATCAAGCTTTTTGAGCTACCTGTTAATCTTGTAAAATAGTATAAATATACTAATATTAGTGCTGATGGTATATTTTTTTAACCACACAACAAGAGAGAGAAAGAGAGAGAGAGAGAAGTTGGCCACTTTTAACAAAGAAGTTCTTCCCCAGTCCCATTGCCTTTGTGGTCTGTCTCTTCAATGCTTTCAAGCCCTTTATTGACCAATAGATACATAAAAAATTATCAATTCCTCATGAAGAATTTAATAGGAATAAAAGCTATACACCGAAAGGAGGAACTTTGGAGTACTTCAGAAATTAGACAGAAGTTGGAGAAGGACTTTTTGAGCAATGGGCTTCCCTGGAACCATTGAAATCACAGTACTCTAACAAGTCAGACAATATCATGTCCTGTCACACAGAAGCCCCTTTAGTCGGTGCAATGCCAACCAGGTATCATGTGATGGCTCACCAGCAATTGTTAATATAAACCAATCATATATAAGTAAACGCAGGCCACTCCAACCTTTCTTACAGTTTAAAATCGACCACCTAAATCTGAAATGGTTTTAGAAGTTGCCCAAGGCTGTAAGAGTGAGCCGAAGAAATGTGTGTCTTGTGCAGGTTATACTTCCCGATAAATCAGAAAGTTTCCTGGTGAGAAAAGGATTAGAACAAAGGTAATCAGCATCTCCCCCACCATCTACCAAACGATGGTGGTTGAATGAAAGTGCTAGAATATCTCTTCCAAGAGTGGAGCTGGAGATAATCCAGTGGACTCTAAATCTTCGATTATATGTCTCCACTTCCCCTACTCACACCTGATATGACCCCAAGGCTATGACTTCCGTAACAGTGGAGATGAGTTAGGCCAGTGCTCAAAGGCTATTTCAAGTTCAAGTACAGGCAAAGAACAGCAGCTCAGAATCAGCTCAGTTGCTGTCTCTTCTTTTATCCATTCAGTGAATGTGCCACGCAGCAGATATGCATGAGAGCAAACATTCAAGGTGGTAATATATGTGTTGATCTTCAGTGCATCCCTTGTTGCTCAAGGCCTACCCGGAGTCTGTTGCTTAGGCAGCCAGTGTGAAGTGAGGAATTTACCATGCTAGGGAAGCTGAGAACTGTAGGCATGTTGCCATGTATACCCTGTTAAGCTTGGCAATGGTGGGCGAGTCAGGTCAGCACTCAAGCCCTTATCCCCATAAGAGGAA